CTGAGCCAACATTTACTGATCTGACATCAATTATTACAGAGGAAGGATACAACTCCAGTTACTGAACGTACAACACCTGTCATAACTGAGACTGTCAGGACAGAAGCAACTGTTGAATCTACCCAGTTTACAGAAATTCAAACTACAGGACCCTCATTTTCCGATCTGTCATCAGTTATCACAGAGACAGATACAACACCAGTCATAACTGAGACTGCCAAGACAGACGCAACTGATGAATCTACCCAGTTTACAGGTACTCAAACTGCTGAGCCAACATTTACTGGTCTGTCATCAGTTATTACAGAAGCAGATGCAACACCAGTTACTGAACGTACAACACCAGTCATAAGTAAGACTGCAGGAACAGAATCAACTCAAAAGTTTACCCAGTTTACAGGCACTCAAACTACTGAACCTACATTTACTGATCTGACATCAGTTATTACAGAAGAAGATACAACTCCAGTAATAACTAAGACTACAAGGACTGAAGCAACTCAAAAATCTACCCAGTTTACAGGCACTCAAACTACTGAACCTACATTTACTGATCTGACATCAGTTATTACAGAGGAAGATACAACTCCAGTTACTGGACGTACAACACAAGTAATAACTGAAACTACCAGGACTGAAGCAACCCAAAAATCTACCCAGTTTACAGGCACTCAAACTACTGAGCCAGAATTTACTGATCTGACATCAGTTATTACAGACGCAGGTACAACGCCAGTTACTGAACGAACAACACCAGTCATAAGTGAGACTGCCAGAACATACGCAACTCAAAAATCTACCAAGTTGATAGACACTCAAACTACTGAGCCGACATTTACTGATCTGTCATCCGTTGTTACAGAGGAAGATACAACTCCAGTTACTGAACGTACAACACCAGTTATAAGTGAGACTGCCAGAACAGAAGCAACTCAAAAATCTACCCAGTTTAGAGGCACTCAAACTACGGAGCCAACCTTTACTGATCTGACATCCGTTGTTACAGAGGAAGATAGAACTCCAGGTACTGGACGTACAACACCAGTTATAAGTGAGACTGCCAGAACAGAAACAACTCAAAAGTCTACCCAGTTAACAGGCACTCAAACTACTGAGCCAAGATTTACTGATCTAACATCAGTTATTACGGAGGAAGATACAACCACGGTTACGGAACGTACAACATCAGTCATAACTGAGACTACCAGGACAGAAGCAACTCAAAAATCTACCCAGTTTACAGCCACTCAAACTACTGAGCCAACATTTACTGTACTGACATCAGTTATTACAGAAGAAGATACAACTCCAGTTACTGATCGTACAACAACAGTCATAACTGCGACTGTCAGGACAGAAGCAACTGATGAATCTACCCAGTTTACAGGTACTCAAACTA